ACCATAAAAAAGATTCCAGATGCCTACTAGAATCTGGGTACAACAATCAGAGGAAAGTTTCAGAAAGACTGTTAGCAGTACTTTTTGTTGGACTTTTAAGTTAAAATATATTTAAAAGAATTATATAAAATATTGAAACAATACTTAAATATTACAGGAGCAAGTTTCCTACCCACCTCCCAATGCAAATAGATAAGACGATGGCTGATAGTTATTTAGGGAAATAACTGCCTACACAGATACGCCATTTAAAGTGTTGGACCATTCCGTGACAGCTTCTGTAGCTTATGAATGCTAGACTGCATTTCATGGTCACTTGCTAATTAATTGAACAATTCATGCAACATTGCTACATCAAGGAACCCAGTTTAATATTACAATAAAATATAAATCCCAGACAATTTCATTAATACATTTATGGTAAATTCTGATGGCTATATAGCAATCAATTTTTTGTTCAGTTGGTAGCTATACTAACCAGAAGCAGCCCATGTTGCTTCCTCAATTTGATTAGCATTTTCAGTGATATTATATAAAACAATCTCACACTCAAGCAAGTGACTTAAGAGCTCTTTTCGAGAAGAGACCTGAGGAAAAAAACAAAGAATCTGACATTAAAAAAAAAAAAAAAAGAAAGAAAAAATACCCAAAATTCCTTCTCTTTTCAAATTTAACTTCCTGATAGAATGTAGTTTTCTAACACTAGGATGTTAAAATAATTCATAAGACTGATATCAAACTTTGTCAGATACAAATAAGGTGATGAAATGTGAACTAGATGCTGAAACTCCTAATTTTCAGTACACATTAATTTAGTTCAAAAAGATGTAAAATTTTTAGCAGTATTTGAGGCATCATATTTTCAGTGCAATTGTATCAAAAAATTGCTGTAACTTTTATAGGCATTTTAAACAATGATCAGCTGGCAGAATGGAGAAGACATTTTTCTGTTTCCTTGCATATTAGCATCCTGTCAGTTTTGTTAAATGCGATTGTCTGCATCACTTGAGCAAGTCCAACGAACACTTTAGGGAAGAGCAGTGATTAAGATTAAATACTGCCAGCCATGATTTTCTGACTGAACAGCTCAGCTGTATAGGCATTTAAATCAAAAATTTCAAATGTGCAAAGAGATTTTGGCTAATTAATATGAGGCAATTTTATTTTCAGAAAACTAAATCAAGCAACAAGCAGTCACATTCTGAAAAGCAAGCCTTCTTCAGTTAACTAAACTCTGGATATATCCATGTATATATATTATACAAAGATGTAGGCATTCAGCACAATCAGCTGCTAGGGAAAGCTGTGGTTTCAGGGAACCGTTAAGAAGTGGGACACTAAGTTTCATTCCAGCACCACTACCCTTAAAAAGGTGATAAAAAGACACAGAGGAGACAAGAGAGATACTTGAGGTGTGTGTTTTGAGGGAAAAAAGAAAGCAGATCTGTGGCTCATTGGGATAGATGATGTCCTGCCCAGAACTATTAAAAAAAAATAAATCTATTTTGAGTCCGAGTTCCTCCCTTTTACTGTTTGCTGTATCGGACCTAGCAGGGAGGAGACAATGGTGTGCAGGAAGCAGAACGAATAAAATGTATGTACACAGCTTCCAGCAGCAATGAAAGACCGTTTTACTAATGCATGTCCTTTTATATTACTTGCAATATTTTTAGTGTTGGCTAATGGCAACCTGAAATAAGACTCTTACTTACTGCGTATGTTTCCTCTGCAAAATGTGGTTTAGTACTCTCTGGCTTAGAAAGGGTACCCACTATTTGGTAGACTCCCTCTTTTGGCCTAGAAACTTCAGCAGCTGAATTATTTTCATCATCCTCCTCCTCTTCTCCTATGCTTTCAAGCGATGCCCCAACAACACATCTGGATAAATACTGCAATATAAAAGACACAAGTTTGTATGCAAACACATATGGAATCCTCCACAACTTCTTGTGAAGACACCAGCACTCTGTTGACTTGGCTCTGATCCGGCTGTAGGTAATGTAGGTCAGAACACAGCGTTCCACTGAACGGGAAAACACTATGGACTCCTCCGCTATAACGTTTTGTCTTGACTTGTGTCCCGCACCCCAGAGTCGAAGGTGTTGGAGAGACCCTAGACACCTCTTCTCTGCAACCGGACTCCACTCCGGCAGACTTTACCGCAAGGAGACGTCGCCTCTCTCCCTAGCGAGGATCTGTTGCCCGAGGTCTCCCGACCTGCTGTATCCACACCTCCTGCTCCTAACTCTCATTTTCTTTCTCCTTCCTATTCCAACCCCTTCGTGCCCCCAGTCCCTCTCCTCAGGAGCTATTTTCGGTGACCCTAGCTACCCGGCCGAGCTCCCCGGAGGCCAGCCACCGGCCGAAGGCCGACG